AGTGACCGAGAATTACTAAGTTTAGCTATTGTTTGTATCTTGTACTATCACCAATTTTCGTTACCGAAAATTACTACATTTGAACTCTAGTGTGACAGTATTAAAATTAGATCGCTGCGGGTAGTATTTTGACTGCGGAGGAAGATTTTATCACATGACTTAATCGACTGAATCATCAGACCGACTCGTCGTAACACTCCAAACCAGCTTCTGAGAGCAAAGGCTCAGACGGATATGTAATAAGGTGCCTTTGGTGACTTTCATCCAAGCCAATTAGTGTGGCCATGTGGGACTTAACAAGATTAGGCGCTACACTTGAGATTGGGGAGACATATAAACCAGCAATGCTGGCAAGGACAGCAAGTGCAGCCAACCTGGCCAGTTGTTCATTTTTTTTAATGTCAACCCATCGGGATGCTATGCCCCCAAGGAGCTTAAACTTTGCAAGAGTCACTATTTCTGCAAACTTTGTCTCAGGAAGTTTGGTACTACCATATCCAAGCCAGGTAGAAGCCCAGAGAGGCCGACCAAAATGAACAATATGATGCCCATTATCACTTTCTGATGGAAGTTCAGGATTTCCCTAGAAACACTTCTTATGAGTTATAAGGCATCAACAGTGCTGTTGAGCAAAGGGACATGAACCAACCTCCAGAGAATCAGTTGACGCAATATAAATGAATGGAAGGTGAACTCGAAGATCATAATTCCTTGCCTAGAAGAAACTGTTGAAATTATCATTGTCAAGATTATTAAAAAGTATTGATGGCAACATTTACCAAAATATCTTGTTCAATTGAAGGTGCAAGATTAGCCACCAAAGAGTTGGTATCAGTAAGAATAGCAAAGACTGAGTCATTAAAATCATGTAAAGCACGACAAAGCCCCCTGAATGCTCTATTTTTCTCTTTCAGATTTCTCTTCTCATTGGTTGTATCTATTGAAAGATAAAGAAATGGGTTATAAAAAATCTATAATTTAAGGATAAGCAGATCTTTACCTAAAAGAGCTGATGCTTCATCAATAAACAGGATTATTAAATGACGAGCTGCATTGATGTCTTTATGCTCCTTTGTACTTTGAATGACAGATTCCCAGAAACTTTCCTCATTCTAAAGGTAGGAGTAAAGGTATTAGACTTGTTGTAATGATGTTGCAATAAACACAACATTCTCAATAAAACCTTGTCTTTAGATGTGGTCATATGTTCAAAGGTGGTGATTATAGAATGAATCCACTTTTTTGCAATAACATGACACTCTTCTACCATCTTTCCTTTCTTAAGATCTTCAAGCATCTCTTCATTCTTTGGAGTTCCTTTTGGGTAGCCACTCAAATCTTTCTTATGAAAACAAATATATACATGATGGCAGTTCTTTGCAAATTCCAATATGCTCCTTGTTTTTCCATAGCCAGAGAATTGTATGGCAGCTAGGTAATTGTAGTGTGTAACTGATTCCTTGGAGCATTTCATCACAGCCTCTCTTAGCTCTTGTACATAATTAGTGGGATCCTGAAAACCAACTTTGAAGGCTTTTTCGAAAACTGGCAATACAAATACAAAATCAGCATAGTAGTCACCATTGAAAGTACAAAATCTTTCAGAGCATACTCGTTTTGTCTGGACTTGGTGTTTCTGCTTGTGCTTTATCAGCTTTTTGAATAAACATAAAAAAAGAGTAAATGCCACATTAGAAAACGTTGAAAGGGGATCATTAGTAAGGAGTGAATGAAAGGTAGCAAAACTATATAATAACATATGTCCCAACCCCAACGCATGTCATAATGCATTCGAACTATTCTCTCCATATAACCTAGCTCCTCTGCCATTTACTAAGCTCTATTCTATACTCCTCCCAATGCGTGTTTGTAATGCATTCCAGCTCTGCCCCCAACTAATAACACCCAACCACCTCTCTTGCAATATAGCGTAAAACCAGTAACAGTATTCGAACTCTTCTCCCCGTTGCTCCTCTATCCTCCTAATAATCGCTTACCATGTGTTTCAAGGTATTCTTTGTATGCATTGTTTGCTTCCTCGTAGGTCGCATAGTCTTTGCCATGTTTATACATGAACTCGTCTTTAGTCATGATTCTTGCGTCCACGTCCATCAGGTCCATGTCTAGATGTTTTGTGATTTAGTGAATAGTAATAAAAAAGAACCGCGATCTAGCTCTGCGCCGCCCAACTCAGCCCTGTTTATACGTTTTACTTACACAAACATGTGATACTTCTCCGTATTGAAGCGCCGAATCAACTACAGTTACCGGGTCCAGCACACTTGGCGAAATAGATCGGGAACCCTCCATGCTTTTGTCAGAGATAAAGGATAATAAGGACAAAAGGGAAAACTCTTTTATACGCTTCTTTGCACATCACGTCATGGAACAATTGTTGTATTGTCCGCATATTCTGACGTGAATCTGTGTTGCGCAATCAGCTATTTTATTACTTCTGTAGTGAACGGTATGTAAGATTCAACATCACTCGAGGGACATGAACAAGAAACTATACTTGAAAGCACAAGACTAGAAGCCAAACACACCACCGAGAGGAAAAAGTAAAGAATAAAAAAAGTAACAGTAAACTAGCGGAAACCAAACGCAACTGCGCTTCTTTGAGTTTACAGGCGCAGTAGTATATTTTTGGCTTTCCCCTCATCAATAAAAACTTCGATTACGCTTTACAATGTCAATTTGCTGACATATGATCATTAAAGTTACACTTAGTATCTGATATTAAATAACCGCGAGCTTGCATGGGAGGCAAACTAGTGCTTGAGAAGCGGAGCTTCTGAGGCTTTGCTGTGGTACCACTCTCTCAGAGCGGGAGGCAATCATTTCATCGACAACCATTTCACCGACAATCATTTCACCGACAAATATTTACCAACATTATTTCGAAGTTATCCTTTTTTAGTAGTTAATTGTCGGTGAAATGTACTGTCGGTGAAATGATTGTCGATGAAATAATACGGACCCGTATCATTCTTACGAAATAGTACAAACCTTTACTTTGGACTTCACTTCTCCATTCTGCTTCAGTATGCATTTGGATGTTTTTATTTTTTAATATTGAAATATCTTTTTCAAATTTCGGTACGCTTTGATAAGTAAACACATAGACCACAAACACAGCGACGAAAATCGCAAATAAAAATATATCGAAAATATTGAGTTGCATCTTGTTATTGATTTTGCGGTTGATAAATTGGTTAATCATATTTTGATTTATTAAGTGAACGTTTTGGCCACGCCGGCTCCACTTATAATGTTTTTTCTTACCAAAATTTCCAGTGCTTTCGACCGGTTTTATATATCCAAACTTGTCATTAGCGAACTATGACATTGGTTCTTTAGAGTTCGTTCTAAATCGAGGTACACAGTCAGCCTCGATAAGCCGGTTTTGGCTTAAGCCGGCCAAAATTTTTCAGCTGGTTTTTTCACTATTCAAAAATTCTCGATAAGCCGGCCAACAGCTCCAGCCGGGTCTTAGTTGAATGTACCTCGATAAGCCGGTCCACGTGATTTTTGTAATATGTGATACAGTTTTTGTCAAATTTAACTGGTTGATCACAACTCGTACGGCAATTATCATTCGTTTAAAATATTAAATCGTATAATAATAATAATCCGAACCGATATTAATATATAAATCAAATCACTAAAATGTATTACAATCAACAATCAAAAGCACTACAGTCATACGATTAATCCAAGATACATGTCACTACATTATAATTATATGATTAGAGCAGCATTATATCATTAGATCATACGATTAGAGCAGTATCATGTACAATAATAATATAATTGTATAATTAAATATCTTTCATCACGTGGTCTCAATAAACCGGTCGCCTCGATAAACCGGACATCCAGAACCAGCTCTTGTTGGCCGGCTTATCGAGGCTGACTGTGTAGTATACGTTAAATTCAACGTTTTATTAATACAGTTTATCAATCCGTCGCAAACCAACGATAATATTACGCTACATATCCATGTCTTCTACAATCCATTAAAACCATATTTGCCATCTAATCCATTCATAATTTCTTACATTCAACTATTTTTTGTACTTCTTCGAGACAACGTTTGATTGCATCAAAGAGCCGTTCACCTTCCATGAATCTATTCGAATTATATATTAATATGTACTTTATTAATGTAGTAGTAGAGTAATTTTACTTTAGTTAAACAAGTAAAAATTCTTACCTTCAGCATTGTTATTTTCTAAAATCATATTATCTTGGATGCTTTAAAAATGGATAAACTTCTTGACGAACTATTGAAGCAAAGAAATTCATATTCGACCTCAAATCAGGAGCTGCGAAATAAATTGGCCAACGAATGCTCAGCAGCTACATGTCTAACTGGTTATGTGTATCCTGTCACGTTTCAATAGTTCTTTCCATTCTTTTTTCGTCCCTCGACCAGATATTATCATCATCGGTTCGCCCAGAATCCAATATACAACATCTCTCTACGATAATTGTCGTGTATTGTAAGTAAATTGATATTCATTCCTTCTGCTCAATTTTTAGGCGGGATGGGATTCATGTGTGCATACGTTGTGCACAGTTACCAATCATGACATGCGTTGTCAATGTCCTGATGACGTTTCTTATTCTCTCACTGCGGATAAAAATTCACCCATAAAAAGAATGTTAATATTAGGAAACCGTAGCATCTCACACGTGCGACATCAAATAGCCTACCATCTCCCCGTTTTTTTCCTTTCTGCATGTCTGAATAACTGTATTTTTGAGTTTTCCGCAGAATCTAAAATAATAGTATTCAAGATGTCATACTTTATGAAAGGAACGAAGTATCAACCTTCACGACAACCAAATGCGAATACGATAGGATTTCACCGAGGTCGCCATATGACCCTAGACAATAGACCAGCGGGTCAGGTAATGTAATGTAAAGTAACATTTAATTCCACCACAGGAGCATATAGCCACAGAACGCTCAAGTCTTTATCGGTTCTCCGCTTTATTTCTACCTATCCTTTGTTTTACTGCCTACCGTCGACTTGTATTATTGTCTTTCCTTCGTTGTACTGTTTATCGTCGACTTTGCATTATTGTCTTTCACTATTTGCCGTATTATCCTACCTGGAAATCTCTCTCTGCTATATCTTTCTTTGTTATTTTTCCTTCCTTTGTGTTTTACAGACACCCACACCAAATCCTTCGCCTCTCACTCTTGCTTCACTCTCTCCCATCACCACGACTAAACGTCACCATTATCACAAACAGGACCCAGACCTAGTCCGAGTACGGCCAAACAAGATGGTACGTGCCGAACTGCTTAATGGGTCCAGTAAAAACAAGACATCCCCAGTATCTCCCATCCTCCCTCCCCAACCTAAGTCTCAAAAGAAAGAAGAGTACTGTATTTTCTATAACAAGTATGGTAAGTGGTAAACGACAATGGATGCTAGAGATGGTTAAAGAATTGGAGGAAATTTAAGGTTTTGAGATGGTATAGGAATCCATATAGGAATTCGGAAATTACTCGGTAATCCCAGCAAAAAAAAAAAGAGTTAAAACAAAAAAAAGAAAAGAAAAAAGAGGAATTATGAATTGTGGTGTTTGGACAATTTACGGTGTATTCACCATTGGGATTGAATGAAAGCAGATATCTACCCCCACCGATATACATCTATCCAACATCGTCATTTGAATCGGTTCATATGAATGTTCAAGATTGAATACCTCTACTAATCCATTTTCTTCCCCCCACTTGATGACCTTTTTCTCGAAATTGGAGGATTACTTTAATCAAAATAATATAATTCCCATTATTCATTATCAAATATTTCTTTTTCTATTTCCTTTCTGCCATCCCTCTCCCTCTCCCCCTCTCCCCACACTCTTCTCTCGCTTTTTGCTTCTTCCAAATTCTGTCCCGTCCCTCTCCCTTTTACTCATACTATCATTAGGTCTATGCAAGTCTGGAGCCAAATGCCAATACCGCCACGACAAAGAACGCATTGCGGTGTGCCGAGACTGGCTCACAACAGGTACCTGCTCGAAACCTGCCACCTGTCCCCTCCGCCACGAACCTTCTGCTCATTTAATCCCGCATTGCAAGCACTTTGACAAATCAATTTGCACACGCGAGGATTGTCCGTATACTCATGTCCATGTTAGTAAAGGAGCGAAGATCTGCGAAGACTTTATCCAGGGATTTTGTGAGCAAGGGGAGGAGTGCGAAATGAAACATTTGTGGGGAAGAAAAGCACAAGTTGAAATGATTTGGCAACGAAGTGAGGAGGAAAAAAGAGAAATGAATGAGGAGGTGAGACGGAAAGTGCATGAGGGTGTAGAGAGAAAAAAAAAGAGTAGAGACAAGAGTAAAAATAAGAAAGCTGGTAAGAAGGAAAAGAGTAAACAAAAAAATGAAAATAAGAGAGGACGAGAAGAAGAAAGTTTCAGTAATCAAAAGGGCAAGAGGGTTAGGATAGACATGATGAGTATAGATAATACTAGCGACAGTTCCTCAGGTGAGGACGATACAGCTTTTAGAGACAAAGAGGATCTCTGGAGATACGATTTCATCGCCTTTGATGAGTAATTGGTTGTGAGGATTGAGACCAGACCAGAAGACAGCCACAAACGAGGAAATTTCAGGACTTTATTGTTAATCTTTAAAGGCAAGAGAAATTTGATGAGCTCGTTGGATCAATTGCTGTCATAGTAGTAGTACTCATTCACAAGTGCTTTCATATAATGCTTCTTTATATTTCTACAATTTTCTCTTCGAGGACTTCTTATCTTTTTTCGTCACGATAGTAGTCGTGTATGTTAGAGTAGAGTAGAGTAGAGTAGAGTAGAGTAGACGGATGGGTTATAGTGAAAAAAAGAGGCAAGGGAAAAAACGATGAAAACAGAAAAGAAAGAGAAAGAAAAAGGAGAAGAAAAAAGAGGCGAACATGAAAAGAGGGAGGAGAGATGATACGATCGTGATGTAAAAAAGATGAAGCTATTCTGTAAATAGCTTGTAAATATAATTCGGTTGAATTAGAAATCAAATACTTAATAAAATATAATTTAAAAAACAACAACAATGATCTTTGTTATCCCAATGTCTTCTGCAATGTCCACGGTATGGTAATTTGAACACAATGACGTATATAACTCTTTTCATTCGAAGAATTAATGATTTCTTTATTAAAACGTCAATATAAATACAAATCTTCCCTTCATCATTATACATTAATTACTACGAACTCCACAAATCTCCGGTAATTCGTACGTTAGCCTGCCTCATAAAGTCTGCTGCTTCAGATGAGTTCATTGTCAGACCCTTTCCTAAGGGAAGGACTTTTCTTGAACTAGAGTCAACTGACAGCGCATCAGAGATGTAAACGTTATTGTTCGGCTTGAAGAAAAATTCAACTGATTGGGGAGGTTTCGAGGCGCTGAGGGCGAAGAAAGTGGAGTAATATTACGTAAGATAACGTAAGATATTGCAAACAGCACAGGGCGTATTAAAATTACGTAATAAATGAATTTAGAATAGATCTCGTAGCAACTCACCCATGATATAAAATGTGATAATGATTAGCTGACATATGATTTATACTTATTTTTTTACCCTTTCGTATGGCATTTCGTTCGATTTCATCAAGTACTGTTGCTAATTCTGCTGTGTTTGTTAATGTCTACAGTATAGAGAAATAACAGCGTTAAGCACAAATGATAAAACATGACTACCCATTGTCTATTCCACATACTTACCGATATCAATTCATCAATACTATACGTCGAATTAAACCTAGTTTCTAGATAATATAAGACACGCCGATGCGGATGTGGACCATCAACTCGAGATCCGGTGATTCCAAGCTGAAGTCTATAATAGCCTGCCGTCTTTCCTGACACCTTCCCCGATATTTTCACGTAAAAGTCCTTCAAACAGACAAGCGATTAGAAAACCAAATAAAGAAATGAAGGAGAGATACACAAGCAGCATAACGTGAGAGCAGAATACACACTTTTGCATACTGAATCTTAAGCGACTTGAAGTCATATGGGTATACAGAAACTTTATGTTTTCTGTGCCATTCTTTAAAAGACACTGAACAGATATACAAGCAATTGAGTATTTGAAAACGATAATAAACACCGTTTTACGACGATGGACCATTCAATACCTTGAGATGCTATCTGTGTAATCAGAACAACACGCTTCCAATCCTGAAGGAATCGTTCAATTGATAGCTCCACCTTGTCATATCGAAAAACTAGAGTGGATGTTATTGGGTCGTACTCGATATGTTCTTGGAAATAAAAGGTAAGTTAGGTCGTGTATTACATTATTGATTTAATGCTTGCCCATTCTCACTGGACTACCATATCATTAGTAGATTCCCAATAAAAACATACTCGACCAAATTCGTCCAATATCCGGCAAGCTGCTCCTGTTTATTGGACACTGAAATAAAACCTAATAAACACCGATAGGACCACAAGATGAAATCCGTTAGGTTTATATACTCGCGCTTCTCCTCAATAACCATTCACCCCCATTTCATTGTACTTACTGAACTCTTGGCTGATGCACTAGAATTCAACCATCCAACTGGCCTAATATAAATATCTCCCATGACCATTAGCACCCTATCAGTCGCTTTATCGATTTTCTTCAACAGTTCCTGGACCTTTATGTGTAATACCGGTACGGAAATTGAATTTGTCATGTTCGCATCCAGAGTGAGATCCTTTAGATCCTTTACGGAGCGAGATTCGAATTTTATGGATTTATCATTGAGTCGACGTTCTAGTTCTATATGGCAGATGCGAACGCTGGTGAGTTGGGTTTATATTGAAAAGAAAAGTGCATGTACATTGGCAAGTAGGGAGAACCGATGAATTGAAGGAAAAAATACGAGATAAGGTTAGATTACTAGATTATGAGATGCTCTCGAGACAAGTTTTTGACAACTCACCGACACAAAGCTGCCGCTCGACTGATACCAAACAAATCCATCTCCAACCTACAAATCGAAGCACCAAAATATAATCATTAATTCATATTTCTATTATACACTATCTCACTATAAATATTTAGCATCAGGCTCGTCTCGACCGTAATCCAACCAAGCAAACATACCCTTCACAACTTCCTTGCACCCTCACGATTCCCTCATCATCAAATCTCTGCCGCTTCACAGGTCTCCTCTTTGGTATGTCTAATTCATCCTTATCCCCCATCTTCCTCTTTCCTGTTCCAAGTCTCATATCTCCATTCGCGTCTTTGTTACCGTCTCCACCAGGATCTGCATCTATATGAGATAGTGGAAACGTTGAAGAAGGAAGCGACGATAACGAAGATGAGGAAGACGATGAAGACGAGGAGGATAAGGGGGGTGGCGAAGAATTTTTGAGAAGCTCAAGATCGAGTGGTTGTAGTGAGCTAAGTTTGTGTGTCAAGACTTTTGCCCATGGGTTGAAAAGAGGTTCAGGAGCATCTTCACGGTGGCTGAATAGTATGAAATAGGGAAGATGTATGGTAGTAACGAATGATCTACATATCCGTAAATCGAAATCCGACTTCTTACCTCAATTGCACTATCCAATATTTCATCTTTCCATCAGAGAAACCAGCTACTAAATAATATTGATCTTTTTGAAATTCGGAAATATCTCCATAGGTATTCTGAGGGAAGCGTAGGAATAAAAGATTCGTCGTGCCAAATCGACTGTAGTCTGTCGGAATGATTTCGCAGTAAGATGACAATTAAACGTTACATATATGATGGATATTTGCAACTGAAGTGATGCAAAGTAAGTCAACATACCATCTGGGGACAGTCGTATTTCCCGTTTAACGTCGAGTTCTAAGAATTTTGCTGTTTTTTCTATTTGTTCAACTAGTGTCTAAATTGTTGATTAAATGAAGTAACATGATTTGTAATAACCATTATGGCTGGGAATAGTATTTATCATTCAAGTATAAATTCTTACTTTGAACTTCCAATTTATCAATAGATTAACAATACCCGAGAAGTTAGCAGTGATTGCCTCCTCGTATCGCCGCGTCATAGCTATAAAGCAAGATTTGACGTTATCGACACCGGTTTCACATCCATTGCCATAAATGCTAACATTCAATATTAAGTAGTCGCCTCCTCATTCTCTTTTCACAACTCTTCACGAACACAATATGGAGATCCCTTTTCGCTCTTACCTTTGCCTATCCCCTTACTCGCTTCTTCTAATAACAATAGTCCGGTCCGTATATCAATACTAACATTTACAAATCTTCCTTTTCCAAATCGAACGCGTAAAGTAGGTATTTTGAATAGTTTTTTAGCCGTTATATCTGTTAATGATGTACTTTTGGGTTTGTTTGTACGGAAAACTTTGTATATAATGAAGAAATAAATTCGTTGAATATACATGATACAGTAAGATGGATGAAATATAATTGATTATGCGATTAATGTAATAAACCAAATTAATATTTACATACCATCACGTCCTTCGACTAATTCAATGTCTCCTTCTGCGAAAGTGTTTTTCTCATAAGTGCTTGTCAGCGCGTCATAGAACCTTTTTATCAACATCTCCGCTTGCGCACGTCCAACATGGAGCAACAAATGCTCTATATTTACATTACGTGGATTCTACATAAAAAAAGTTAGTAACTTCGATGACTCTCCATACGCAATGATATACACCCATATATCCTGTTCCTACATACAAACTTCCAATTCAGAAACCTCCACGTCGGCTTCTCTTCTCCAAAAAACCCGCACCACCCTACTTGAAACCTCTTGTTGGGATAATTCAATCCGCGACCACCATTTATAGTCCCTGGTTTTATAAGAGACGTATCATTGGCCCAAGTCGTACGAGATAGCGACCTATGTGTCGCTCGAACGAGGGCTTCTTTTGGAGTATCCTGTACGATAGAAATTTCTATAACGTTGTGGGAACTGTGTTGCAGGTTTCGTTTCGAGTGGGCAGTTGATGAAGAGAGAACAGCACGGCCTTGTGGAGGGAAACGAGAAAAAAGAAAAGAGGGGGAAGGATGGAAATGACGCAAAGGAAATTTTGAGAGAAAAATGGAGACCATATAATTGGTAAGATGAGGTCGTATAACACCTTATAGCTATCAACTACTATACCACATCAATAAAAGATCTAATTTTACACTTACCAATACCACCGACGAATCTGGAAGATGTTCCAACATTCGGCGAAGATCCACCACTATTGTTTCGTTAACACAATACACTCTTTTAGCATGCTTGATAACACAAAGCCAATTAAAGTTACTTCTCCGCACAGAACTACCTCCAATAATGCAATCGAAGCACTGTTCGCTCTTCGTTAATATTCACAACCAAGTGGTTGTAATATCTTGTTTGCATTAGATGTTTTGACTATAAAACATAATATATTATAATTGCGTGTTAAGACTAATCCTCAGACGTTTCTCTGTCTATTCTCCCTTCCACGGTTAGATTCATATTATTTTTACTGGATTTAAAAGCGTCACCTACCCCATAGTAACAGTCTTACCTGTTGCCACATAACGTCCAGCTGCAAATCCAACGCCAAGCCATGCAGATATTCATATAAATGCACCAGCGGAATAAATTTGGCTGTCGAAGAGCCTTCTGTCTGCGAAATATTCGATGTTTCTCTAGACAGCTGGCTTGATTGTAACTGTCCCTGTCTGCTTCCAACCGCTTCCGTTGAAGGTCCTTCATCACTCTCCCTACTCTCTCTCCTCACAAATCTACTCGCTGCCCATCGTCTTCTAACATCTGATAGTGGGTCCTTAGCAGTCTTGGGAAGTTTAGATGCGACTTGTGAAGTTTTTTCGATGAACATTTGAGGGTATGGGTTAAGAAGAATTTGAGCCTGATCTTGAATATAGCGGAGTTGCTGATCGTGGACTGAGAGATCAGATTCTTAAAAAAGAAGTATAAGAGATTCAGAAGAGTTTTGATATGTGGTAAACGAAAATTGAAAGAGGTTTTGGAGCAGAGAGATTAGGGAGAGGGGAAGAAATCGCGTAAAGAATAAAAAAAATTCTTACCACCAAGGAATTTGTCTCGGGCGTTTTGGACGAATATTTTTACATCTACAATGTGCCAATGTGAGTCTTTCTCAGGACTACCCAAAGTAAGGGAGACCTGTAAGTAGTTTAATAATAATGATCATGATGAATGCATCACCAGAGAGTACCCATCCCGCTACCATTCCCTTCTCTTATCGTACCTGAAACTCATCGGGCACTACAAACGTAACTCTCCCATCGTGTACTCGATATCTTTTCATTGCGGGCGGTACAACTTCTTCAGTCATTAATCGTACTTGTATTGTATTGTTTAATTTTCGTAATACTTCTCGCACTTCTGCATCGTCAATAGGTTCAGGTGCCCACTTCTCCTATAGTAAACAATGTTAAATAGCAAGAATTGAGTATTAATCATATTTGGATGTTGATTCAGCCGAAATAATTAATTGTAAAATGATTTACTTTTATCCATTTGGGAAAGCGTAAATATGATCCTGACGTTAAAATGTCGATACCTGTTAGAAGGTCGAATTGTCGTACACTAGACAATCAACAAAGAAAGTAAGTCGTTGTTGCTGATGAAGGATAGAATCCAAATAGTAAAAAAGAACAAACAAGAACGGTTGTCGAAACCAAAAACGGAAACAAATAAACTATATTACTAAATTGGTAATATTGTGTTGACTAGATAATAATTATAATGTTCATTATACATGTATATACACGTGCAATGTATCTCATTCAATAATGTCTCCATCTCCGACCTCACCTTGTAGCTGGAACAAACATGGCAAAGTCTTCTAGAGATCGGCTCATTTCGCTGAACACTTTACTCTGGCTTTGTATTGCCAGATGCAAATTCTACAATAATCAGCTCTCAAATGTGAGTATGTGAAAGTAAATTATTCTTATTTCATATGTCACACTGTCTTCTGACATTCGAATCCTTCCTATTTCTACATGATACTTTACCTCAGCCTGCCGTATCTTATCCGCATGTTGAGCAAACTTGACTGCAGCTAACGATCTCAAACACTGTTCCCGCGTCTGATAAGCAAAGCTTATTAACGCCTTCCTCTTCTCAGCAGCCAGTAGATCTGTGTTTAACACATCGCTAGGTAACTCTTCTTTACGCACTTTCTTCGCATACGCTTTCCGTATTTCAGCTTCTTTACCCTCAATCTGCGGCAAGCTATCCCATATAATGTGCACAGTTAGTATACCAAATCAGGACAGTTCTATTCCCGTCAGAGATCAGATCTTTACGTTTTATTTATTAATTTCCATAAGGCTTCGTGAGTAGCGGTGTTGGTGTTACCGACAACGTTCTTGAGCCTCACCCACTGTATAGGCTTTGACGTAGGTGGTGGCTTTGTTTCTGGGTGGTTATTAGTCTTTTGTGGTTGTGACATTATCGTTATACCGTCTATAAGTCTATTAAATCAGGGGAGACAAAAAGAATGGTATCGAAGCATTGTTGTTGCTTTCCCACAAGTAGTTTCCTGATATGGAAATTTTTACGTAGCCGATCACATTATTAATATGATGGCACCTAGCACTAGTACGACTTTCGATTGCATTGCGTCACACATCCACGTAAGTTTGGGCGGAAACTATATATAAAGGGTCGGTCTCAATTAACCGTCTCTCTGTAATAAATATAATTGCTAGAGAGAAAAAAAATGGTATTGATCTCAATACAATTAATAACGTACGGAAATGATTTATTTTCATTAACTAGACTTTATTTTCTAGATAGTCCGCATTAGAAGTGAACGAGGAACATTTCGAATAGAAAGTGATCCAAATGATGACATTACAAGTTTAAAGAGCAAGGTTGATTTGATTATTACTATATATTATTTCATATGACGACTGTTTATCATTAGCGTTTACACCATTTATCTGCTTGCTTCTGATTTAGATTGCTCGACAATTAAAACTCTCTGATTCGATTAGAATATTGATATCTAACGACCCTAAACCCTCCACCGCAACACCGATATCAGACCTGGTTGGAAAAACACTTGATCAGCTTGAAGTCCGGTAAAGACAGTTGCATTATGATGATCTTCAATTCAAGTATATTCTGATTTGATACTTATTCGACCTTTTCAACAATGTCTTAGCCACGGCGATATGCTCTTTGTAACTCTTGTCGATCCTGGAGTTGGTTCGTCATCCTCTGCTGCGTCATCATCATTAGCATCATCATCATCATCACAACAGCAACAAAAACAAGAAAAAGAAAAAGAACGAGAACCACGTCAGGAACTACAATCAACAACAATATTATTACCATCCGCCTCAACGTCTACTTCATTTCCTTCAGTAAAACAACATTCTGTAGATGATTTTTTGGAAAAACAAGAGGGACTAATTGCCAGAGGGCGAGATCCTAAATTGTATGAGATGGAGATTTTGTAATGTTATGAAATTTGTTATGGATGGATGGTTGTAATGTTTGTTGTGTACATGTTTGGTATCGTGTTATTATTAGTTGCAAGCATTCGAGTAATGGAATGTGTGATTATTGTATGCCGTTAGAGGTATGTCCATATTGTCTAATTAGAAGCAACGTGAAATTGTATCGGAAATTTATATAACTGACAATATCTGATTTTCATGTAAAGCCGTACGATCTGAAGTACCTTGCAGAAAAGGGCATAAAGCACATGTCATTCCACTCATATCTTTGCAAGATACGTAAAGAATTCAATAAAAACTCCAGAAATGCGAGGTTTATCCCACCGCTAGAGGAACCTGATTTTCGCGTCAAAGAGAATTGTTCTGGAGGCCATGCTCCCTGGCCGGAGGGTATTTGTACTTCATGTCAGCCAGGCGCTATTACTTTACAGCCTCAGGTAGAAGACAAGGACAGGGAGAACAGAATCATAGAGAACTATTAGATGGGTGTAGGAACAAGATTAGAAAGGCCATGGCGATAATAATGACTAACCAAGCATATTTAACTAACTGTCGTCACATAATTTAGTCATTCCGTATGGTAGACCATGTGGAATTCTCGAGTCCATCGCATATTGAGGATTTCATTAACTACTGGCGCTCGACAGGGTTACAACGTTTCGGCTACATGTACGGAAGATACGAACCATATCCCGATGTCCCTCTAGGCATTAAAGCAGTCGTCGAAGCTATTTATGAACCACCACAGGAGGGTGAGGTTGACGGCATCAGTTTAACACTTCCGTGGAACGAGGAAAAGACTATTGATGATGCAGCGGATGCTTGTGGTTTGACAAAGGTAAGAGAGAAAAAGATGGATTGTGAACGGGCCATTTAACTTTTACTGTTAAGTGTGGTTGGTGGCTCTCAACAAGTTAAGCCACATCTTTTTCCAGCATTGTCACTAATTCCATAAACCATTCACCTATTTGGCTTCCTCAACCGACAACCCTCGCTTATTTAAGGTTGGGATGATTTACACAGACCTAACGGACGATGAAACAGGTCAAGGCAAAGTAATCTGCAAACGACACATCAATTCCTACTTTCTCTCTTCTCAAGAATGCTGCTACGCTGCCGCAATGCAATCCCGCTACTTCAATCCTACGCGATATTCACCAACCGGTAAATTTGGATCAAAATTCGTCACATGTATTGTATCTGGCAATAAGGACGGTGGCGTTGATGTCTCCGCATATCAAGTATCAAATACCTGTGTCGCAATGGTGACAGCGGACTTTGTTGAGGCTAGTGTTGATCCGGGTATCGTGAGAGTGAAAGAGAGCACAAACCAGAGATACGTGCCTGAAGTGTTTTACAAGTATAAAAATGAGTATGGACTCGAGGTCCAAGAGAGTGCAAAGCCATGCTTTCCCGTCGAATATTTTCTTGTTAATGTAAGTAACAAAATAATCAGATTTGATCCGGTTTGACTTTATCAAGTATTTTTTGCCACGGTTAACTTTATTGATAAATAGGTGACTCATGGCTTCCCATTTAAACCGAATCCGCTTTTCACATCCTCAGATGCATTTCCAATTGAAAATCGAGATAAACTTGGGAAACAGGACCTTAAAACTTTGCGGCGTCATCTTGCAATAGATCGAGGCGGTAGTAAACTGATAACTGCTGTTTCAAACTTCCACGTGCTGGCATATATTAAACAACTCAATCAATTGGATGATGTATGTGCATATATAAATATATATTGCTATATGTAATATGACTTTCTAATATGATTGTACTACGTGATATTTATATTTTTAGGACGAATTCAGCCAATTAGTAAAACTGGCAATATCTCATATTGAAGCAGATGCATTCGCGCTAGTTGAGATGCCAGGATGGCAAAAATTGCTCGCTCTCATTGAAAGTAAGCATGACAGTTTAGTACCAACTCGAGTTGTTAAGCTTGTCGTTACCTAAAATATCTAACTTAACATTTAATATTCAAACAATAAGGCGGTCAAGAAGCTCGAAAATGGAGTTGTCAACGATGTACTTTTGATAATCCATTATCTGCAAGTGTCTGTCAGATTTGTGAATATCTCAAGGAATAGAAAAAGAAGGACGATTAAGAGACAGAATACGTGTAAGGAGTAAGCAGTATATAATATGTATGGTATATGGACTGCTTCAGTTGATATGCATATCTATAGTTCCACTTTTTTCTTCTGTTTTTCTTCTTCTCCATATTGTGCTCCTTAGTTTCCCCACCATATGGATGCTTGCTAATTATTCAATCTAGATGAAAGTCGAATTCAAATCTGCTAGTCTGCAACAAATAATCGATTAAACTTCATAATTTATTACAAATTCTGCCTTGACTCGATTATTCTAACCATCAGAATTGCTTGAGGATATTTCAATGAATGGGTCTATTTTGATGAATCCGTATCCTCGTAATACCGACTAGTGTCCACTCCATGCTGATTATGGTTGGCAAAGTTGAACCATGGATATGCAGCTGTGGTTTAGCAAGTTTGGTTAGCGAGGAAATGAAAGAAGAAAAAAACAGCCACAAGCATTAACCATTACTGGCTGCCATCATAGGTCTAGTACGTTAACACGTCCTCCTCTAAACGCGCTTAATCTTCTACATTACCAAATTTCAGTGCCGCAAACTTGGAATTCCAACTTGAAGCCTGTTGAGCATATTCAGGCTGCGATGAAGCTCCATACAATGGCTTTCCCTCCCTCACTCTCTGGCGCATTTCTCTTAGATCTTTCTCATATTCTCTTTGATTCTCCGTCCAGCCCCAAAATCGCACTAAAATAAAACATAAAATTTTGCAAGGGTGATTACATGAAAATGGTGAAAAAGATCATACAAAAACAAGAAACCCGTATTTTATGTTTTACTATTAACACCTACATGAACTGCGTTGATATGCAAGCATAAATCCAGCACAAGCCCCGAGAAGTGTAGCATATCTCAGCATCGATGCTACCGCGGCTGGACCGGTATACGTTGGGTTTATGCGTTCTAGAGTAAATATTGAACAAGACATACAGGATTCATCAGTGATGATTTGATGAGATTCGAAATCGAAAACTTCGTATCTATCGCGCTAAAAGGTTCAATATACTTAAGGTCTTTCGCCAATATCGACTCTCGTGATCAGAAACTTTTACTATCTACACTACTATCGTTCTACTCGATCCTATAACCCTCTTCTCAATATTCAATCTCCGTAACATTTTCCTTCATCACCAACACCTCAAACTTTACCAAATCCTAGTACAAATGCAGGCCCACTAGCAGTTGCGGCTCCCCATACGACATAGTCTGACGGTCGAAAGTATCTAACAACTCTCGTAAAATGAGGGTCTATATCTATAGCCCTATATGTCGCCGTACTTTCTCGAGCTGGGACATCTGACATTGCAAGCTTATTGGAGACGTTAAATGTGAATTGGAAAGAATTTGGAGCGCGAAAAGGTCATGTGATAAAATATTATAGTACGTCACCAAATTAGTAGTAGTAGTAGTAGTAGTAGTAGTAGTAGTAGTAGTAGTAGTAGTAGTAGTAGTAGTAGTAGTAGTAGTAGTA